CTAATCGATAATGCAGATAAGCAGAAGAGAAAAGTAAGTTTCGCATTACGTCATCACCTTTGGTCCTGAGTGGAATTTGTCAAATAGGTGGAAGAACTTCAAGAAGAAGTTGCTGAGCTCAAAGAAAAGCTCAAGCATTCTGAAGATGCTTCAGCGGCTGAAGTTGAGCGGTACAGTGCTGCTTGTGCGCGATTGGCTGAGGTAGAGCGGGTAAGTTAGAGTGTGACCAATCGTAGCCTAGTTGCGTGCAGTGTGCTGACCAATCAGAGTGCTTCCTTTGTTGATCGATCAAAATAACAACCTTTGTTACAGAAACCTCAATAAAGTTTTGTTAGGCCACATAAAGGTTCATCATATGATTTTTTCTATTTTAGGAATACGAAGAAATGAAACTGACGCTGAAAAATACGCAAGGACTATCCAAACAATCGTCAGAAAAGCTTCAAGAATCCGAGAATTTCGCCTTACGAATAAAACAACAGCTGGAAGAGTTGGAACGCGAAAAGAACGCTAAAATACAAGAAATGGCTGCTGAGCATAAGGCTCATCGAGAAAGGTAGGTTCCGCTTTAGTTTTGTGTTGGCGAGAACTGGTCCCCGACGTCTTAATTGCCTTTGCGCATGATTTTCTGCTTCTTTCACCTTGTAGGTTCGTCTGGTGGGACCTGCAGAATGTTTTACATCAATAATTAGTTCGAAGTCGTGTGGGGACCAGTTCTCGTCTCCAAAGAAGTTTGGGCTGATTTTTAATATTTCTGCAATATATGCATATTGACTCTATTTTTAGGCTAGAACAACATATAGAAAATATGGAAAAAGCTAGGCAAGAACAAATTGAAGAGTTAGAAAGACAGCGACACGAGATGGAAGAAATTTACCGTAAAAGGCTGGAAGATGCCGAGAAGAAGCTCGATGAAGCTAAGGAGATGCACAGGAGCCAATCAGCTTTGCTGGAAGTCGCCATGAAGGAGAAAGAAAGCGCTCCAAAGCGAGAACTTGAACGAATGCAAAAGGCTAAGGAGGAGTTCGAAGTGCTGCATAAGGAACAGGAAGAGAAGCTGAACAGGAAGGTGAGAGAGGAAGCTGATTTTGACGAGAACTGGTCCTCGTGTAGCTCCCATCATAACTTATCATTTTTCATACGTTAGAACCTTACTCTGCAAAAATAAGCGAATTTTGTATGGATAATGAGCTCAAAGTTAGTGGGGACCAGTTCTCGCTTTTGCAAATTTAGGCTAATTTTTCACACTTGACCAATTAGTAACTATTTTTTT